ATTATCTCTGAATGCGGTTAAATATAATATCCCATTCACCCCAATCATGGGTGAGTAGAGAGTTGCACCGGTCGAGCCCAGGCTTTGGTCATTTTTCGGGGTCATTCATGCTTTCATACGTATAATGCATAAAATATGTATTTATAATTTGAGAGGAATAGTGGTCATTCGACATGGCAGTGATATACTGATATAACATTTGGTAACCCCTCCGCGATGATTGTTAATATGTAAATATTTATTAATAATTTATAAATTGTTAATCAATACTATAATTGTTATTAGTTATGACTGTATAGGTAGATGAGTAGTTGTGATTAAAGTGATAAATTATAATTTAAAATTCGATACCTTAAAATCGCTATGAATACGTTCAGTGCAAACAATAGATAATTTATTATACAAAATGTAGTATTGTTTTTTTTCTTTTAAGTGAATGAATGTATGGATTTCACAATGATTTTTTTTTGGTATCCAAAGACTTTATAGGAATTAGAAAAAAATGCTTCAAAATGTCAACTTTAATATAATTTACAAATAATTACAATAGAAAAAAGTTCAAAATCCAACAACCCTTGAAGTTTTAAAATTTTACCAAACGCTTATAATAGCACTTTATATTCATCGTTTAACTTTCAACTCATTTTGAGCTATTTAAAGACATTTTAATAAAATTGGACCCACAGTTTGTTTTCAACAATATGTTGACACATTTTCTTGAGAAATTTGTATTATTAATGGCTAAGAAACATTTTGATTATAAGGATTCGAAAATCACACAATTTTGAATATCGATTTTAGGTATTTGTATTGAACATTTTATCATTTTTCAGTTATTACTAAAATGTTATCCTCAGCGTTAATACTTAATATTTGGATAAACATTACCTACATGCGTGCTGCAGCACAATAATAATTGTATTATATCGATGTACCATAATATTATAATATGGGTACTACCTTTTATTTTGTATTATTTAAAAAATTATTCATTCAAAATAAATAAATTGAAGTTCTAAAAATGTAGCAACCCCGGACCTTGTGGTAATGTGGTATAAATATAACCATTCGCACATGCTTTTCTCTATGATATAATAATAATACTATTGTCACGATATAGTCGACGGATGGCGTGAGCAGTGACGTTCGTGCAGAAAAATTGTGCGGCGGAGTCATCGAAAACTGTATCATAATACAGTGTTATTGCGTATTAGTTTCGTGATGGTGAGCACGTGGGTTGGACGGGTCCTCCACCTCCCCTTTCAAGTAGAGTCAAATTACTCATTTACCGTGTATGAAAACAAACAACATAGTGATCATCAAGGTCTGAGATACGTAATTGAGTTAGGTATAGTCTGTATAGACTATAAGGTACATCGCATAGCAACTCTATAGCAGTAGATAGTATGAATACAAATGGTTCAGTAAAATAAAAAGGTTTCTACAAATTATTATTACGTACCTTTTATAAGAATATGTCAATATACCGATATAATATATTATATGTAGCATGTACGAAGTACGTAAATAATATATTAATAATAATACTCATTACTCAATATAGGTACAGTAGGTAGTTATATTAAATATTAATAACAAACGCGACACGATTAAATAAAATATAATAAAGTCAGACGAGATACTCTTATGCCAGCCACTCGTCTTTCTTCGTTCTAAATTTATTTTCTCAGCACGGACATTTATTCGTAGCACCAGTAAAATGTTTATTTTATTTTGCTCGGTGTATAATTCTATATACATAAAACCTGCAATAACCATTTTGATACAACTTTTGGAAAAGTTTTTTTCCTGCAATGAAAATATAATTTATTATATTTTTTATCTCATTGTAGTGATGCAAACACACTGTATATTTTACCTGAGTTAAGCAACTACCTGACTAATAACTTTTAATTTGTATCTTATTTGTTCAATATTGATCACATTTTATTTTTAGTTGTAACTCGAGTTAGCTTACCGATGCTTCAGACGAATTTTTTCAAAGTACCTAACAAATATACCAACATATCGATAATTTATACACGCGTTTTCGTATTTCATATAATATTTATCTCGCTGCCCAGTGACCGTTAATATTTTCGATATTTTATGCGCAAACTCACATCAGCGAGCGGTGATGGTCGCGGCCTGGTACAGCAGGTATAACCCTGTGCCATTATCATATATACTCCGGTCGGACGTTAACTCGTATATTATATAATGTGATAAAACCCCGTACTTACACGTCCCCTCTGCCTGGTGGTTGATCGATCGATGACGCTGACGGGTGTTCAGAGGGCGAGATGGTAGTGGTCGTCGTGATGCGAATGAGCGCGGGGGTGGAGGATTGTTCTGTGTCGAGCTCTCGTCGTCGTCGGATATAACGTTAAATCGCGTATGCAAGACACTGATTGGATTTTCACGTGATCCGATGTTTTAATAATATGGTTATGTATGATATACCAAACAGATGATGGTTTCCCATACTATTATTATTGTTATTGTTGTTGTTGTTGCCGAGCCGACAAGTATGAAGGAATCACACGAATACTCGACTTATATATTATTTTATATTTCATATTTCGTCGAGTTATTATCGTTTTACCAAAAAATAATTAAAAATAAATTATTATGAAACTCACGTTATTAATTTATCGCTTTCAGTATTATTATTATAATAGGTATATCATCCATCGCGTTAGACATAAAAAAAAATTATAAATTATAAAAAAAAAAAAACACTTTTTGAAATGTATTAAATAAAATTAAATGACCCGTAGGTTGTAATGATTTTTTGTGCCTAATGTGCATAAGGAAATATTTGAAAATTCATTAAAATTAAAATAATTTCCACAATACGTATTCATGAACCCTGCAGTCATTGTTGCCTGTACCAGGTACATTGTACCTATCTACGTTTACTATACATCTATATAATATTATAATATAATGTTATATTATACATTACATATTTGTATACAGCCACATGCATCCCTAAAGGTAAACGGGCTTTTTAAAATAATGTTGTATAAACCATGGTTAATTGAAAGTTTGTGTTACATTTATTTTCTGGTTATAGGGTTAAAAATATGTTTATTGATAAAATGGGTACATATTATTGTCACACCCACTGATGTTTCAGGTTATAAGACAATATATGGTCACAAAAATAAAAGATAATAAGAATTAAAAATATTATACCTAGCAGGACTATACCAATATCTTTAAATATCTTTGTTTCATAATATAGTTTAATACTATAGATCGTCAATTATAAGACTTATTTTCACCTAATAACGAATAAAAATATGATATTCAGTGATATTAACTAATATATTAAACAATTTTATTATTATATGAACAGCTTACAAAATTAAAAAAAAAAAGTTTTAGAGCCAATAACTTTTATTAAACTTAAATTCAGATTTTCTAATGAATACAATTGATTCTGATACAATGAAATAATAATATAAATGTGAAGGTATTTATAACTAATTATATCCTTCAAATATAGTTAAAAAAAGTTATGTGACATAGTGAGTATGATCCTATCCGAATTAAAATTAATTTATATTATAGGTTTTTAACTTTTTGATACAAGTATGAAGTAATATTAAAATAATCTTAATTTAAAAATTAAATTTACTGACGTAAGTTAGCGGTATTTTAGTGGTAATTAGTAATAGTTTGGTAACTGGTAGATACCCTATAAAGAAACTAATGTTTCCTATTGAAATAGGAATAATATATAAGGAATTCCCAGTGTCGATCTGGCCCACTCGGCTACCCGACAATCACCGTAACGCCCTAACTAAACGAGAAAGGAGTAAAAAAAAAATTTAACTTTACTCGAGATTCTCATGAATTTTTTTGGTGCCTCTGAAAATGTTGCCAATAAGCCAATTAAATTATGCCTACACTCTCGGTCAACAACTTCTTTAATATTTACGATATTATTTTATATTTGCCGGTTTATGTGCAATATATTATATGTATATACTGCGTATGCTTATACAATTTTTTTCTTAGATATATTTTGGCAATAGTATGAAAGTGAAAATAAACTCTTTGCCAACGTTATATCCCATCATCTGTATCCTTTGAAAAAGTAGCTGACCATGTCGAATTCATTACGATTTGGCCGAAGGGAACTTTTGCGTAATTTTACTAATATAGACACAGAACAGAAGTATCATTTAAACAATTTTCGATTATAAATTTCAATTTTTAATACTTCATATTATTGTCTCAGTTATAACTTAATAATTTAATTTTTCGCATGAAATGTTTGTGAGGCACTTTTTTTTATTAAAATGTTGTGGCCCCCAGGTTACCAACACCACTAGTGTCTATAAATAATTTATTGATATTAGGTATAAGTATAATATATTATATTATAAAATAAAAACGTCACCGTATCATTAAATAATATAATGAATAATGATATATAAAGTTGTAAATATATACATACTGATTAAACAATCAGAGAAAAATAGTTGGCATGATAGTGTACCAGTATAATTTATCAAAACTTGTCATCATTGAATAATTGAACACGCACGTTTGCATCCATTCAAATATTCCATTGTATTAGAATAATAATATAGTGTAGGTATTGGCTTAGATATAATTTTTGTTAATTCCATAATCGAATAAAATATATTTTGAAACGTATTATTCTACTGTCGGCATAACATTACAGAGGACATATTAAATTATTATTATCTGGATTAATATATTTGTACTGATTAGAAATTAAATAAATCTATAAACATAAAGTATAATATTTATTCGAAAATAATTTAAAATTATAAAATTCATGAAAAAATGTCTTTTAAGAAACATACAACAGTAGATAATGATATCAGATGGCAACACAGTATGATTTATAAATATATAATTAATTACTTTTTACATTTTAAATTATGATATATTTTGCCACTTGTATAATACTATTATAAATTATATTATATTAATAGTCATGTATTTATCTATTGCAGATTAAATACACAGGAGCTAGCATGAATCCAGCAAGATCTTTGGGCCCAGCAGTTGCTCTAGGTGCATGGTCAAACCATTGGGTAAATAGTTACATAATATTAATAACTACAATAGTAAAAATTATTATAATGAGATTTTATGAACGTTTTAGGGTATACCTGGGGGGTCGGTCCTATTGTCGGTGGCATACTTGGAGGAACCGTCCACACTTTTGTGTTGAAACGTCATACTGAAGAGGCAAGCTCTTATGATCTTTGAACAACTTTATTATTTAACTGTTATTTTTATAAATTAATATTATGCTATTAATTATGTGTTATCATATCATTTAACTTAGGTTTAAAGTTATAACCAGCGTTTCATTCAAATATGAAGGACTAAATAATTAATTTAAAAAAAAAACTATTTTATCATTATTATATTAAATGTAGACATCAAACCATACAATTAAATTGAGTGCATTCTAGTTTATTAAATCACGATGAAATGAAAATATATTACCTATTTTATTGACTATTTGTACGCTGTGAATTGTGAGTATGATTATTCATTAAATAAGTATTAATTTTTAATAGTTATGTGTTATTTTTTCAGAAAAAATTCTTACAATAATGGTGTAAAATCAGTATGCGTGTATACAGTCCTAGTGCTTGATGGAATTATTGATAACCTAACATATAATCTAAATTTAATATAAAAATATATATTTTACGATTATATAAAAAATTCACCGTGTTAAATATTATTGTTACCTAATAATAAACCGATTTCAAATTATTTTAATTTTGTATTCAATGTTCTCCCCACGATTAAATAAAAAATGATACTTAGTTTAAAAAGATCGGACATTTACCCAAGAAAATACTCGGAAAAGTAATTATTTAAAGTAACCAATTGTATATACTATTATTCTATATTCAAATATTGAATATACTTTTTATAAGAATAATAAATCAATTCAACTGATGGCCCCATATTTACCCTTTATACCTATATTTATTTAACCTAAATAATCTGTTAAAATATTTTAAATATTACTGATTGATTATTATTACTTATTTTAAACTTTTTTTTCTTTCTGTTTCATTTGAATAAAAAATCTTAATAAGTGCAATTTTTGTTTATAAAGGTTAAGACATTTTTTTTTTTTTTAAATTATGATTCGAATAATGAGGTTTTAGTTTTACAAGATAGTACCTATGTTGATTTCTTTATAAAATCACTTCTAAAAAATGAATTGCGATTTATCGTTTAATATAGTTGGATAATTTAATTGTTAGTAATATAATTAATATTACCATTTACCATATTAGTAGGTAGTTTTTGATATAACTAAAAATAAACACGGTCTTAAAATTTTAAGTAAATTGATGATAACCACGTTATACATACACATTTTAATACAATATTCCAATACCTAGTATAAAGACTTTATTTACTAAAAATTGATTTTACAAATTAATGTTCTAATATTAACTAATTGCATGGAACTTAGTATTATTGTTAAACACGGCCAAACGTGTTTTAAAGTAATATTAAATGTATTATGTGAATCAACTGTGCATTCAGGTCATTTTCAATCCAATTTTCAATTATAACTTATTACAATTGTATTTAAAGCTTAAGTTAGTATACCGCATAGTACTGTAGAACTGTGTGATTTGGTTTTTTGTATAAGTTAGTTTTAAGTTAGTCAGAATATTTTGAAAATGTCATCGTGCATAGAAAACAATTATTTACATAATGGCGAATAGTTAATTACAACACAACTGTCAACTAACACCATTAGAAGGAAAATCGTTATTTTCCTTTTAAATAAAATAGGCATAATATTATTATATATTTTTGTTATTTTTATATTCTTATATAAGCAACTTACAAAGAACCTTGTATACAATTTTCAATTTTTTTCTATCTAACGATTTTACAAAGTAGGTAAATCGAAAAAACTTATCGATGTAGGAAATTATATGTGCCTATAAACTATAAAGTATAAGCAATTCAAAAAAAGCCAAAATATTTTGAAAATTATATTATGCTAAGAAAATGCTAGTTTAAATGTTAATCAAAAATGTAGTATCTGCGGTTTTTAATTTTTCAATTACAAATTGATTTTCTTGACCCTCCAACCTAACAACTAGATTAGGTACCATAAACCATAAACCATCCTCGAAGCTGTTGATTGAAGCCTTTTTTCTATTCTGATAATACGTGTTGGCAAAACTAAAAAAGTAAAATAAATAAAACACACAACATTGTTAAACCAATTCACTCCACTCAGAGTCCACTCTAATCTAACATAAAATAAAGCAATACACTTTTTTTTTGTATGAGTATTAAGCAATATTATAGACTATAGTAATATAATAATGTGCACATGGCAATTTCGAAAAATTATTTAAAAATGATTTTTGAGTTTACCGATGATTTAATTTTACATAATATATTTAAATATATTAATACAATGTTTTAAAATGTCTTTTTTTTATAGAATATTTATAAGTTATAAAGTTATACAGTATTGTAACATATGCATGTGCACTAAGGTACCTATATATTATTATTATGATATTTTTTTTCAAACTATTGGGAAAGGATCAAATAATGTATATGATGAACACAACATAGCTGGGTGGGTACTCAATATATACCGAGTACACGTTTTGTAGGAATAAAAAAAAGTATCGAATTTGCATTTTACATTTTTAACGAGTAGGTACCTATAACCTATGGGTATATAGGTAATAATACTATAAACAATCACTGCCACAGTGCTATGTTGATACGTGTAGTGATTAAACCGTTGATTTTAAGATTATAGGTAGGTGCATAATAATAATATAACTATGATACAGACATATACAAACAATGAAAATCAAGATAACCTGCTATTGATTAATTACTTACACAACTTTTGAATTCGTCATCAGTTTCTAAGATGTTGCCATAATCTCACAAACAAAAATAATTACCAATAATAATCTACATAACTGATTTCCAACTCATAAATAAAAATAACATAATATGCGTCATAATATCCGTCCATATCACTTGAAAATAAAATTAATATGTTGGTGCATTATAACTGAAACATGAACTTGGCTCAAAGTGTTGAAACTTCTTCATCGTTTATTCGTTTCTAATATAGTAATAGGTACATTGTTGTTTTCAATGTAATAATAATAATTATCGTGTCCATACGTTTGTTAATATTATAATTCAATGGATAAGTTCCTTCAGTTCGACTATACAAAATAACAGTCATCGACCATCGTTAAAACATACTTTAACAATACTATAGGTCAGCAGTATATAAAATATTTTCTTATATTATATAATATTATACATTAGAGTCGATTTAAAGATGTAGCGATAAGTCTATTATGTACTCATGTGTAATAATCTAAGTCTAACTGTAGTAACAAAATACATAAATATTAATATTTAAATCTCGTCAAATTATAAAATAAATAATAATACTTTGTAATAAGTATATGAATGCAAAAATGTTATGAAAAAAATAATCGTCAAATATCGTTTTGGTGAACTTGAAATATTTTTTGTTTCTTGGGATACTCTATCGTCTCCATTGCGGTAAATGGCACCATTACCCTTTAGTCTTCTAGAAAATTAGGTCAAAAAGATACTTGCATGAAAGCCCGACCAAAATTCGTATACGCTTCGTTCCTCTTAAAAGTAATATAATTAGCAATTCTTATATTCTTCGTCATTCCGCTAATATTATAGAATGGAGTTGTTTTTTGTTTTATGATGGCTGTAATGTCATTTAGGTTTTTTTTTCACGAATAGACTTTGGTATAGTAAAGCTTTTTATTCAGAATTAACTCACTTCTATTACCTCTAAATCTTACGTAATGTCTAGTATTTTATATAACTTCTATTTACAAAGCACAATATTATACATCATAATAGCTAATGTAATTATAATTGGCAATTTAATTATGAGACTAATACTAATGAGCTGATAGGAGATAGTTAATACTGTATGCTTAATTATATTTGATTCACGAAAATAATATTTTTCAAATATTATATTATACCTAGTAATAAGTAATAACAGATAGCCAGATGGGTATTTCTTTGTAAGTAGGTAACCTTATATATTCCTAATAACTTCCGTGATATAATTTCAGCGATCAAAAGTCAAACTACCTATTTGTTGGGGACAAAAGCTGATGTTATATACTTATATATAACTACCGCCGTAATATGAAGCTATATCTATAAAACTGTTAGAGTTCATAAAATTAAAATGCACGATAAAAAAAATGGTTTACATATTGTAAGAAAATAACTATGTTTTACAACTTCATTGTTATATTTGTGGACATTGGAATAAAACAAGTGATTTGTATAATAGTATATTTCTGTAGTATATTATTCCTAAAAGTTGCATAATGATAAGAAATAATATAGACGTCATGGATAGGGCGGCATTGGACAAATTTGGCCCACCGAGTTTTCCGTACTTTACCGGCTTACTTACAAACTTACTGGCGGCACTTGGGTAGTTGGATAAGTTCTTATTCCGTGCATAGTTTTTTTTTCCTTATATAGTCTCCATTTCTTCAACTTTTAACTCTTAACAAATTTTTAGTCAGCGGCCCCTCATGACTCGGACGGCCCAAAATTATCGCTGCCCATCGAGTTTTACTCGGTAATTCGCCAGGCCAATCCGGTCCTGGTCATAGATAGTTTGATTTATGTAATGATTTTAACAAAAATATAAATATGATAAAGAATATTCACTTTAGAGTAGAAAAGTGGTACATACCCACCAATTTTATTGATTAGATATCAATGTACTATCATTGATTAAAATATATACTTAAATATATTTAATCAATGGTACTGTAGACAAATTTAAAAACAATTAATTGATTGCTTCAAAAAAAAAAAAAAAAATGATTCTGATAATTTCTGAAAATTTAATAAATCCCTTAAAATAACAATTCAAGTACTAAATACACGAAATTTCAAATCTATAAGTAGGTAAATGTTTTACAATTATTATGAGATACGAGTGAAAAATGTATATATAATATCAAGCATAAAATGTATAATGAATTTTAGCCTTTTTTTATCATGGTCAATTTATTCAATCAAAATGCTAAGTTTTGAGCTGCTATAATAATTTTTTTTAATTTAACTTGAATTGTATTCAATGGAAATAAATGCATTAAAAAAATTTGTTTCAGC